AAAAATGTCCGGATTTTGGCAACTTCTTTCCGATGGAAAGATTGGTGCAGAAAAGTCTAATGGAAAATCTTCAAATGGAAAATCTGAACGACATCCTTATCATGTAGTATTCTTCTATCAAATAAATGGTAAAAGCTATTTTTACGCTCATAGTACTGATACTCTTAAATGGTACATTAAAGAACTATCTGACGGTGGTAAAATTGGCGAGGAAACCGCTTGTGGAATCTGGGAAACCCCATATCATGTCGCATTTCCCTTTCAAATTGGTGATCGGACTTATTATTATGCTCAAAATGTTGATTCTAATTGTTGGTATATTCAAGAATTAGTTGAAGGGGGTCAATTAGGTGAAGAAACTGATCAAGGACAATGGTTAAATACTTATCATGTTGCTTTTCCTTTCACGATTAACGGAAGAACATTTTATTATGGTCATAATATCGATTCAAATTACTGGTTTATTCAAGAGTTATTAGAAGGTGGGAAAATGGGAGAAGAAACCGCTAATGGAACTTGGCAAAATGCTCATCATGTTTGTTTCCCTTACCAGATTAAAGATAAATATTATCTTTACATGCATAACACTACTAATCGTTGTTGGTGGATTTCTGAATTACTTAGCGGTGGTACGATTGGGCAAGAGACGGCTCGTGGAAATTGGAAAAACGTCTTTCAAGTCTCAATTCCATTTCAAATAAATGAAAAGATTTATTATTATGCTCATAATGTTCACACGAGACATTGGTATATTCAAGAACTCTCTAAGGATGGAAAGATGGGTTCGAAAACTGCAAATGGCACTTGGCGTAATTCGTATCCAGTGATTTTTGCCGCAAAAATTAAAAACAAGTCTTATCTCTATGCACAATGTTACGAGTAAGATTTAATCCTTGTAATCGTTTGAGTATTTGATTCATCGTGAAAAATTTCACGATACGAGCCTAAGTACTGTCTAAATGCTGTCTAAATGCTGTCTAAATGCTGTCTAAATGCTGTCTAAGTAGCTGTGACGACAAAAAAATAATTTCCGGATATTGTATTTGAACATTCTTAGTTAGCATATCATCATAACTTATGAAATTTTGTCAACATTGTACTTTGAGATTCTTAATCATAATTTTGTAATTAAAGTAAATACACACTTAATAACTAATAAGTAAATGTTGCTGGTTGAAACTTTAATAGTGAATGATAAAATAACGATAGCTTTATACTTCTTATTTATAAGATAAAGAATAAAATTTTGTACGTATAACAAAATATAAGAGTACTAATGTAAGTGCGGTGCGTGCCACTCTTCAATCAAATCAGATCAAAATATTTTTTTTAAAAAATAAATGCCATCTGGGTTAAGGTTTGTTTGGGTTCGGATACGAGAATACCAAAATTTTACCGGAAATTTTTTTTAGGCCAAATTTAGATTTCACATTAGATAATATTTCGGGCTTAATAGCCAATTAAAATGCAAATAAATCACGTGGTTGCCGTTTTCGTGTAGCACAAAGGTAACACGAAGAACGATCATCACGGATCAGTCTGACAAAACAAAAACAGCAACAAAAGAGCGAAGAAAGTGAAAAAAGTCAAAAATACAAAAAACATCCATCTAAAAATGTCGGAAAGACAATTTTACATATATAACTTGCCTTTGCTCTAACCATGTGCAACCCTAACTTTAGTTAAAATTATATGTTCAAATGTAGTTTTACACTGAAGATGCATAAGCTAAATATCTCTGGCTAGAGATGCCTAGAATTTTCCTTGATAAAAATATAATTTTAAAAAAGTTATCTAAAATTAAATGTTCAATAAATTGCAACTATATAACAATAATAGATAATTTTAATTATCCTTACTAATGTTTTGAACCGGTTTTATTTTTCATTTCAATTAAAACTGGTTTTGACATATGAACAATAAAACTGGTTTTAAACCCTAATCTTTATGTATCCTCTTCTTATAATTATGGTTGCTAATGCTATCCTCATAGGAAGAAGTTTGTTAATGTAAATCAATTGCCTGGGTAACTTATTTATACACTTAAAGTACTTTTTGGTAGCACAATGTTTTATTAACAAAAAATCATCACAAAAACTGTGCAAAAGAATCTAAAAATGATTCTATTCCCTACAGACTTTGCTTAGGAGACAAAATATACTGACCATTTATTGGACAATCTCAACTATATAAATAATTATATTGTATATAGCTTACTATAAATATTTCATTGAATATATACAAGCAATCAATTTTCAAATTTATTTTAAACAAAATATATAGTTCAATTAAAGATGCCATGCTATATACATTGCTAATTAAGAAAAATTAATACATCAAAGATGTCATGCTAAAATTAATATATTAAAAGAGTTTCTGTACACTTTAACTAAACATTAAATATCACCTATACTCCATCTTAACACTTATATTATAAATTATAATATAATGAGAGAATTGGAAGAATAAGAATGATTTTCTGTTAGAATAGTCAGATAGGTATAGGACTTTAGAACAGGTGGATAATTTGACTGTGCAGAAAGAGTTTTTGAAATATAAAGCACAAAAAGTGTTTCCTTCAGTTAGTAATTAACTAATTGTTATCATATATAAAGATTATATCATATTGACATTCATTAAATATCATATATGAATAAATTTGTTTAATAGCATCTTTGACAAATTGTCTTGATAATATTGTTTTGAAAGCATTAATTTGTTTGAATTAAATGTAGTATAGCTTACTCTTAATAAAATCTTTAAAACAATTTAAATAAATTACTTTATATTATAATAAAAAATATTAAATTAGTTTTTAATATTAATTAAAATCTTAATTATAATATAAATATAATAAAATAACTATATAAAATAACTTATATTTTTTAAAAGGGATAAGTTATATTACATTTAAT